CAACATAGATATAGAAAGATAGATAGATAGATAGATAGATAGATAGATAGATAGATAGATAGATAGATAGATAGATAGATAGATATGGTTTCAATAGCACTAGATCTCTTATCAGAATTAGGTCCCGTATAAACAGTTAAGACCACCATTACTCGGCTTACTATTTTTGAAATAGTAGAAAATATTAATCTTTGCTCATCTTTACCATTTAGATCCTGTCTTTCTATCCTTATTGAAATTTGCCTCTGTAAGCAGACTACCTATTTTACTGAGAACTCTAATCCCAGCCAACGGAGGAAACCAGTATCATATCCCACCGCTTGAAGTCCTCCCTACTAGCTGCTATACCTCAGACAGAAACCTCAAGAGGGCGTCCTCTTTGCATTTCCCGCTCTCATCTTGCTCTCCTTCGTTAGCATACTCCCACGCCGCTGTGGAGTCACCGGCTTCCAGCTGGCTCATTGCCTCCTGGCTGCTGCTCTCTTCTAACTTCTCCTGAGCATCCTCCTCAGTTTCCCTCCAGCTGCTCAGTTCCTTGAGGTCGAGGTCTAAGCTAGAGTCTGGAGAACTACAGAGCGATTTGCAGCAGCTGCTCTTCTCAGACTCAGTGAAGTATTCTTCCTTGGATTCCAGCCAGGTCCACACGTGACCCATCTAAAAAGGTAGAGAGGGAAAAGTTGGTGACTTATGGGGTTGCTTCCTTTCCTTTGAGACATTCTCGGCTAGGGTCTCCTCGATCTGAAGTGGTTCCATCTCTGACGCTAAATAGGGTAGCAATCCCCCATACAAAATGTGTGTGTGTGGGGGGGGTTTCCTTTGGACTCAGGGCTCCTGTTTGAAAGGTCAGTAGCAGAAGGCCAGAAGAACCTTTGAACAAATCCATTGTGTATATGAATTATGTCCATTTGGGGGTTGGGAGGCTTTTCTCCTAACCATTCACCTTTTGGACTACTGTAATGTACTCCGCATGAAGACCATTTAGATTCAGAAGCAGCACTAGTCTCAAGGTACAATTCAAGACGCCTTAATAAAGCTCAGTATAATTCAGAGTTGAAACCACTTGTTTCCAATGATTTCCATTCATCCCACCATATCTGGCAGAACAACGAGCATGCTCCCAGATTCCTGGAATGCCATCTTGTGGGACTCAGGAGGCATGTTTTCTCTATTACAGTGTATGCTCTTTGAAACAGCTTTCTCTAGTCAGAGGACCCCCAACCCTACTAGCTTTCCAGAGGACACTGAAGAACAGGCTTTTTCCTTAGACTTTGGGGCCAGCATATTAGTTGACCCCGGAACGTATATTTCTTCACGAGATAATTTTGTCGGTATCTCTCATAATAGAAAAATGTTTGGAGCGTCAATTGTGTTGTGCAGTTTGTAGAAGTAGTCCTCAACTTAAAATTGAGCCCAACATTTCTATTACTAAGTGACGCAGTTAAGTGAATTCTGCCCCATTTTATTACCTTTCTTACCACAGTTGTTAAGTGAATCACTAGTTAACTTGGTTGTTATAAGTGAACCTAGCTTCCCCAATGACTTTGCTTGTCAGGTCACAAAAGGTGATCAAATGACCCCAGGACAATGCAACCATCATAAATATGTACCACTGTTGGGCACATATTTGTGCCTTCAAATATTGATCATGTGGCATGGTGATGCTGCAACAGTTGTAAGTGTGAACAATGGCCATAAGTCACTTTTTTTTCAAGGCTGTTGTAACTTTGAATGGTCACTAAAATGCACCAAAGACAAATTCCTTTTGTCCAATCACACTTGGTCAATAAAGAATTATATTCTATTCCATTCCATTTCAATTCTATTCTATATGAACTGTTGTAAATCGGGGAGTACCCATACTCTATTTTATTTTATATTTATTGTTAATTGCCCAAAGTCATTGAGATTGGTGACCGCATGTATTCTTTAAATACGTATATTCCTACACATTCATTGCTCAAATGCAATTTTAAGCCATTTTAAGCCAAGACCTTCAGTAGGAAGGCTGAAACCTGGAAGAAAGCCGTTTGTTAACAGTGAGGATTGAGACCAATGCATTTCAAAGAAAGAGCACCCCTTCTTGGTTAAGATGAGAATTGTCATTATTTCCCTAATAATGACAATTTATTCTTTTCATGAAAAAATTATGTGGCCTTTGTCTTATTACCCTCAGATATAATGATCTACATGGGCTGCATGAAGATTCTTCGAAAATAAAAATGAAGGCTGGCTGCTGTTTAATGCTTTATTTGTAAATGTGCCTCAGCATACTCATGCATTGAAAGAAACAAAGAGAAATAAACTGGGATAACAGACAAAACCTTAGGTTCTAACAAGGATGGCAGGGGAAAACTTTGCTAGTTGGCCTCCAGGTATATTGATATCTTGTAATTAACTATATCCACCATGACAGGCATTTTCCAACTACAGGTAGTCCTCGACTACAACCATAGTTGAGCCCAAAACTTATGTTGTTAAGTGAAACATTTAAGTGAGTTTGCTCCATTTTACAAGTTTTCTTGCCGTAGTTAAGTGAATCATTACATTTGCTAAGTTAGTAACACGGTTAAGTGAATCTGGATTCCCCATTGACTTTACTTGTCAGAAGTTCACAAAAGGTAATCACATGACCCCAAGCATTGCAACCATCATAAATATGAACGAAGCATCTGAATTTTGAATGATGGAGATGCTGCAACGTGTGAACAATGGTCATAAGTCACTTTTTTCAGTGCTGTTGTAACTTTGAACGATCACTAAATGAACTTTCGTTAATTAACGACTACCTGTATTTTGCAGATAGTCTCAGGCCAAAAGGAATAAAATACTCTTTTACTCTATTCTTGTGTATTCAACCAATACACTGAATGTATTTATTAAAGGAGGCTGGATCGTAAGATGATGAGAGTGGTTTTAAAACTGGAAGAAGCATCAGTAATCAGCACTGTGCTGATGACACTATTCAAAATGCAAATGATCTGTAAACTTTAGTAAGGAAGATCAAGGAGCACAGTGAAAAAGAGGTCTAAAATTCAATATAAAAATGGCTAAATTAATTATAAGAGATACAACAATCACCATTAAAACTGACCATAAAAATATTAATGCGGTGGATACCCTTGGCTAGTATTTTATGATCAACTGTCAACAAAAGGCAACTGGCAATCAAGAAAAATGCTGCATACTAATATTTGATAGGACAACAACAAAGCCTCTGATGTACCTGTAGGTATGATATCAGAATTATGCAAGTAAATTGATTTCCCTGATACTCTTTGGAAGCAAAAATTGGGACTTTGAAGAAGATAGGAAAAGTATGGGCATCTTTAAATTTTAGCATTGAAGAAAACTCCCGAGAACATTAAGGATAGTCAAGAAAACAAATGGATAATAGAATAAATCAATGCAGAATTCTCAGAGACACAAGTG